TAACAGATTTAGGTTTTAGATTCAATATTTCTTGTTCAACTGCTTCAATTATATTTCGTAAAGTCATATATTTATTAGAACACATGTTCAAAAAGTTAATTTATTGGCCTGAAAGAGAAGTTTTGCGTAGCACAATGCCTAGGTCTTTTTTTTAAACTTTTGGAAACAGTGTTGCTGTAATAATTGACTGTTTTGAAATAGGTATCGAAAAACCATCAAGCTTAAGCAAAAGCTCAAACATGGTCAAGTTAGAAAAATAAAAATACAGTGAAATATTTGATTGCAATAACTCCTCAGGGAGTAATATCATTTATTTCTCAAGGTTGGGKTGGGAGAACCAGTGATAAACATATAACTGAAAATTGCAGTTTACTAAACAATTTATTACCTGGAGATGTGGTATTGGCTGATCGTGGGTTTACTATTAGTGAAMGTGTAGGGTTTCACTGTGCAACTTTAAAAAMTCCTGCATTTAMCAAAGGTGTACCCCAGCTTCACCCTTGCACCATTGAAGAAACAAGAAAAATTGCTTCTGTACGAATTCACGTTGAACGTATTATAGGTTTGACTCGTTCAAAGTTTAAAATTTTGAACGGTCCTATTCAAATAACCACATTGAAAAAGCAGTATGATGAAACATGTCTTTTAGATTCAATAGTTATTGTATGTTGTGCATTAATTAACATGTGTAGCTCAGTTGTACCCTTGGATTAATTGTTTTAAAGTTAAAGTAAATGATGTGTACCTATTCTGTATTGATAATTTAAATGATTTATAAACATAAATAAGACTAGTAAAATGTTATTGTTTATTTTAACTTAAATTTAATGATATATTAATTACAAATGGGACATTTCCACTGTTTTTTTGTAGGTTTACGTTTGATTCCAAGACATTTGTAATGATACCAAAGATTTGGACAACCCTCTTGAGTACACATTATCATCTTTCCACCTACATTTTTTTTACATGTGCAATAACAATATAATATATTTTGGTTATCTTCCTCAATACTTGTCTCTTCAATGGAATGTCTATTAGTAAAATATCTGCCTWGTAACTCGRGTAATATTGCTTCATAGAAAAACCATTTGGATTTCGTTATTATGTCCATGCATATATCATTGTTAATATAYATACGTTCTATATGGTGTTCATTTGGGGACCATACCACAAAATCTCCATACTTAGCTTCACATAACAATAACTGCGTTTGAATTTGATAAAAGTRCTGATGATTTTCTTTAAGTTTTCCATTACTCAAGTAACTAAGACTTTCTAAATCTTTACCATGTGTTAGGTTGTATGGACATTTAATCTCTAAACATCCTTTACCACAACAGTCACAGTACACTATGCCATCTGGACTRGCTCCGATRAATGAAAAATTTGGATTGATGACAAGTCCACTATCTGTCACTGAAAAATTGATATGATCATTTTTTTAACTTGTCAACATACATTTTCTTACCATCAATTTCATGAATTTTACCCCATTCGGTTGCTTTATTTTTAAAAGAATTACTCAACGGATAACAAATTGATTTAATTGAGGCTTATGTTAGACTCATATGACTTGACAGAACAAACTTCCTTTACCCTCGAGGCAGTAATTCTACCAGTTCTGTATAAAAACCATTCTTTAGAATTTGATTGMAATTTTGTTTCTATTTCAATTTCATCACAGACTGWTTTAGTTAAACAGAAGTCAATTTTTGAACCAAGAGTAATAAGTTCTTCTCTGCTAAGCTTAGCATTTTCATCTTTATACATATTTGAATAATATTTTGGGAATACATCTGTTTTGAAATTTAAATTATATGGTGAGACAACCTTTAAAATAGCGGCATTGCTATTTA